CATTCCTTGTCAGAGAGGAATCCAAGTTGGTTTTAAACACTTTCTCATAAATGAAAACAAACAGAAGCTTCAAAATTAAAACCCCTAAGAGAAAGAAAAAAAAAAGTTCCTTTTTATTATTATCTCCAATAAGCAAGCCAACAGTCTGGTTTTTATATGCTTGTTTAGACTTTAGTTAACCAAAAGGTCTTTTAAAGACACCTTTTCAAGGCTTCAAATTACAAGAAATGTCATTGGGAATAGAGTCCTATTAAGTAGAAAATGTTATGAACAATTTTGTGAAAGCTTTTCTCTTTCTCATCTAATTTCTTGTTATCTGTAAGTTCATAAATGCTTTCAGTTTTAAGCTTCTGCTAACTTTATATTTATGTTCATATAGGAACTGACTACTGTGTGATGCAGCTAATGGAAAAATGTCACTCCTACTTTGATGGAAATTGATTCCTTGCAGATATTCTGAAAGATCATTTGTCTAAACTGGCTTATCACCTAGCAGCCCACAACTAAATGCAACCGCAAAGGATACTGGGTTTATACAGATTAAAAGAAAAAAATCTTTTGTTTCTTTTAGTTTTAAACATGTGGCAGCTACTATTGTTATGTCACTGGCCCACCTTCTCTGGCCCCAGCTATTATGACATTTTATTTACCCTGATTAAAAAGTGATACCCTCCCAAGTTGCTCAGTCCAATGGTAAAGAAACATTATTCATTTTAAAGTACAGACATTTTATGTGCACGTAAAATAAAAATATTTAACTGAAGGCCTATTTTCTTCTACGCAAGAAGGGCATTTAATCCTTCCATTTCCTCTGGAGACCATGTTCTTTAATACTTCTTTTTTTTTTTTAAGAGTGCCTGTCCCCTGTTTTTTGATAACTTGTTGTTGAAGAGGTAATGGCTGTTACATTTTTTATTATAACTGGTTTAAATATATAAGGGCCACCAATGCTGTGAAACTTTGAACCACACACAATAAGAAGGGATAATAAAATACAGTTAAAAGCCAAACACGAAGAAGAATGGAGAAAGGAGAAAGGAGAAAGGGAGAAGAGAGAAGGGGGGGAGAAGAGAGAAGGGGAGGAGGAGGAGGAGGAGGAGGAGGAGGAGGAGAAGAAGAAGAAGAAGAAGAAGAAGAAGAAGAAGAAGAAGAAGAAGAAGAAGAAGAAGAAGAAGAAGAAGAAGAAGAAGAAGAAGAAGAAGAAGAAGAAGAAGAAGAAGAAGAAGAAGAAGAAGAATAAGAAGAAGAAGAATAAGAAGAAGAAGAAGAATAAGAAGAAGAAGAAGAAGAAGAAGAAGAAGAAGAAGAAGAAGAAGAAGAAGAAGAAGAAATGAACTCACTTTGATTCAAGGCCATGGGGAAAATCCAAGTTGTCAGGACTCTTATAAACACAGTCAGGGTAGGGGCCAAACACATCTCACAGGAGATAGTTGTACTAAAGGGCAAATGCTCAAAAGAGAAGACATCCTTCCTAGGTCCCATCAGGTAACATTGCTTAATGGGTGGACCTGGAACATGTCAACCCTGCCCCATACATGCCAAACAAAAACCACAGAAGAGAGATGGCCTTTAGATAATCAAGTCTTATGCTATCATAGGTTATCGGAAGGAGAGAAAAAAACTATGTAAAAACAAAGAAGTTAAAAGAACTCTAGGTATTTTATAAGCACCTTCCATCTAATAATAACATTTAAGATGACCTAGATCGGTGGTGGCGAACCTATGGCACAGGTGCCAGAGGCGGCACTCAGAGCCCTCTCTGTGGGCATGCGTGCTGTCACCCCAGTCCTAGGCTTTCAGCTGGGTTTTATAAAACCTTTTCACTTTAGGCCTCTGCTACCGTGTGCAAAAAAAAAAAAAAAGTTCAATCTGTCAATTTCAACTTCTCGTGGGGAAAAAAAAGATCTTGCAAAGTTGGAATTGATTGATTGAACTTTTTAGTCCCACCCAGTCTGCCGTTACCACCGCAGCCACGCAATGGGCCACACCCACCCAATGGGCCACACCCACCTGGCACTCGACGATGCATAAGTGGGTTTTGGGTTGCAGTTTTGGCACTCAGTCTCTAAAAGGTTCGCCATCACTGACCTAGATGCTCTGTCTACATGGTAGAAAAAGTATCTTCATGAGAAATATCAACTTTTACTTACAGGAGAGCAGGACATTCAGTAGTAAGATACAGTACCTATCTATCCAGACTCACTATATTGGTTATACCATGGGTAACTTTTGATGCCCCAAAAGAAGCACATTGTGTAACTCTGTCAAAAGATGCTTCCCCAAAGAAATAATTATTTAATTTGTAGAGCCTGATGAGATGAAAGATCATTCTTAGCATCTAGCAAAATATTAAAAGGCTATTTCAGACATGTGATGTATGAGGGTGAAAAATGTTGCTCTTTTTCAAGTATCTTGAAAAGCAGGTGTAAGTCTCACAAAAGCAAGCAATGGATGGGTGGTGGTTTAGTACAGAGGACCACTATGGAAACCTTTTGACATGAAGACAGACCAACGCCAAGAAAAGTACTGATAACTGACTGTGAAAGATGCTGTAGTCTGGTGCCCAATCCTATGTGTAGGAAAGGTAGGACTTGGGGCCTTGAGACTACTATAGGTGACTCTGCTTTTTCTAGCTGAGGACACTTTCCAAATATTACACAAGGCATGATAATAAATCTTAACTCTAGTCTAGAACATTAGTCATATATTCAATAATTAGCTAATAGCAGAGTCTTCACAGATTTCAGATACTTGGACGAGTTGCTTTTATATAGAAAAGAATTATATATATGCAGAAATATGCATACTGGGAAAAAATAAAACAAAAAAAATCAAAAGAACAGAAATGTCAGTTCTGGGCTTTAAATCCTAGGCCTTTTCCTAAGTCAGTGAGCTTTTGGACATTCTTTTCCTGACCTCGAAAGTTGGTGATACAGATGATCCTCGACTTACAACAATTCACTTAGTGACTGTTCAAAAGTACAACAGTACTGAAAAAAGTGATTTATGACAGTTTTCCACACTTATGAAAGTTGCAGCACCCCCAAGGCCACATGATCAAAATTCAGACGCTTGGCAACTGACTCATATCTATGATGGTTGCAGTGTCCCGGGGTCACCTGATCACCTTTTGCAACCTTCTTCTAAGCAAAGTCAACGGGGAAACCAAATTCACTTAACAACTGTGTTATTCACTTAACGGCTGCAGTGATTCAGTTAACATCTGTGGCAAGAAAGGTCGCAAAATAGGGCAAATTGTACTTGTTTCCTATTTGCCTAATGCTGCTGTCCAGCCTGAAAATCCCTAGTTTCTGCTTTGACAACTTCAGCCCTTGCATCAAGTCGACTTGCAGATGCAACTCATGAGGCCTCTACATAAAGTTATTATGACAGCTGATTCTCACATTGACAAGAACTCTTGGGGCTGTTTCCAAAACAAGCAACAGGTGCTGACTGCTCTGCTTTCATTCGCACACCAACAACCCACAACAAGCGCCCTCCAATTTCTGCTGAAAAGGACAAAGAAAGCAACAAGAATCCTGCTGCCTTAATGTGTCTGTGTGTAGGATTTTCATTTGAAAGTATAAAACTCACCTGAATTCTTAACCCTCTTTAATATTACTAGTACTAATGTGACTAATTGCCTGGGACAGTTGGGAGCTACCAGAGACTGTTTTGGAAATGTTACGGGAATCAAAAAGAAGATGAACAGGTCCCTTTCCTCCCCTACCGCAAGCATTCTACAATAAGGATACGTTCAGCTCCACCCTGTCTTCCTTGGGAAATATCACACAAAGACTTTACATTGCACTGACTGCTTTTACTAGTGGTTCCATCAAGGATGCCTTGAAAACCATTGTGAATTGGTTGAATTAACTTGAGTCCTTCTTCATTTCCCTATGTGTAGGTCCTTGAAGCTGAGTCAGTCAAACATTTGTGGGTTCCCCAGCCTCATTTAACCAAGAGGCAGCTTATATGTGCTTTAGTTCAGTGGCACCCAACCTTTTTGTCTCCAGGGACCAGTTCTGTGGAGAGAGGTTTTTCCGTGGACCAGAGGGGGCGTGGTTTCATGTGCTGCCTCCATTTTGCAGATGTGGCTTTGTTTGTTTGTGCAGACCAATTGTTGGCATGTTGTGGACCAATGCCAGTCTGCGGATTGGGGGATGAGGACCCCTGCTTTAGTTCAGAGTAGGAGTCTTGTTGCCTTCTTCATGAGCAAACACAATCTGTTTTCTTCTTCATAGTTTACAGGTAGTCCTTAACTTACAATCATTCCTTTAGCAACCATTCAAAGCTACAATGGTCACGTGATCAAAATTTGAGTGCTTGGCAACTGGCATGTATTTACAATGGTAGTAGCTTCCAAGGTTGATCATCATTTGCGACCTTCCAACAAGCAAAGTCAATTGGGGAAGCTGGATTCGTTTAATGACCATAATGACTTAACTGTGCCAAAAAAAAGGCCACAACATTGGGCATGACTTTCTTAACTACCTTGCTTAGCAATGAAAATTCTTGTCCCAATTATGTTTGTAAGTCAACTGTAACTACTTGTACAAGGGGTTGTAATTTCAAGAGACTGTTTAGGTTGCCAGCATTGTAGATATAGATCACTTAAAAATAAATTATGCATGAAAAACCTATTTGCGTTGATATTTTGAGCAATCATTAACCTGAGTGATATGTATTTGTTTTATGAGGGTGTATATTAAAGCTAATTCCAAGTCTGTTATACCATTGTTTGATGTCTGATATACAGTACCCATTCTTCTGAAGTACTTACAAGGAACACTAGATAATGCAATTTAGATGATCCAAGTATGGAATAAAACATTTTGTTTCCTAAGACTCCGTTCAAATTAGGTACTTGCGAGAAGGACAGGATATGTGGTCCATATACAATATGTGTATGAAATCTTGTAGCAATGGAAAATGCTAAGTTAATGAAAGTGAAGAAGCAACATAAGAGTACAAAAATAATAATTCAATATACTATAAAATAAACTGAATAGTTAAAAATATTTATTTCTAGTATATTTACCTTACCAGGCATAAAGAATTTTCCAATTTCATACAGAAATTTATAAAACATATAAACATGTAGACCAATATGGCCTGTTTCAATATACGTTCAACATAGTAAATATAATTGACAATCACCTGAATATAAATGTATAATGGTAAAGAACAGATCATACAAAATATGATCCAAAAACATTATACAGAAAATTTATCATATAGATAAATCCATTGCTATTCATGTTTGCTCAGGATAAGCATTTGATCTTAGTTTTAAACTAGTTGTTGCCTTCAAATTTTATTTATAAAGAACAAAAGTAGACAGTCCAACCTCTTAGTACAACTTTGGTCATCCAATTCACGTTTCACTCAATGGCACTAAATTTTGGGTGTTTTCATATATGTTGAACTTCATGTATTAACAATCCTTTATCACTCCGATTCTAATTAACACTCTTTTAAAAACATGATCCACTGAAAAACAGTGAAATCTATATTCTCAAATGACATTGCATCTTTGGGATGGAGGCAATTTGTTTCATTCCCTTACCACCAGATTGTAGACAAATTTAATCTGCAATCGTGAAAGTCTGAAACTAAATTAACTAGACTATAGGCAATCGTGATTAAAGGTAAGAGGTTGAAGCCAACACTCAAAACTCACAAAATAGTTGTAATGTTAGTTTGACAGGAGTGCAATTTCGAGCATATGAGGTAGACCTGTAATTTAGAATATGCGCCTCCATCAAAATAGCACACTTATTTGGCCTTTAATCAGGGTCAGAACTAAGGCATCTTCCCTTTCAAATCTTGATCTTTCTATTTTTGATCTTGCCTGGGTTATACTGTGGCTGAAACCTGACAAATCAAAGGAGTTGATGCTTTAAATGTTACTCTCTTTTTGGAGCTGGGACCCAAAATTGTCCATTCTTCATTTGACAATCTTTAAAGGAATTGGTTGAAAAAATGTTCTTTGACCCACTGGAACCAACTGAATTCCAATAAGATGCCAGTGTTTATCTGCTTTGTCAACAGTCTGAATGGTATATTTATGTGGGATCTCCTTTACTTTACAGAGTTAATATTTAGATCAACTTTCCTTGATCTTTTCCTGAAGTGGAATATTAAGAAGCCAAAACAAAGTCTCAGCGAAGCTTTGCCAGAAAGTCTTGATGACTTGAGGATTAGAACTGGTGATCTTTCCACTACGATGTCATTTTCATACTTTGCCAGATGTTTTGTTTTTCATATGTTCGGTTATGCTTCAACTGCTTCAGTTTGTGCAGCTTGCTTACCAGTTTGGCAATATTGGAAGAAGCTTTGATACTGTTTCGAAGAGTATCCAACCTGCAAAAATAAAAGAGAACTCATCAATTTAAATGATCAAATATGTTGGCGTATGTATAAATAGAGATGTCAAATATGTTAGTTGTCTTAGTCACATGAACATTTAATTAATTATCATTTTCTGGAAATACAAATTTTTTAATCTCTGTAACCCAGATTTACATATGAATATCTAAAGGTGTATTATTATTTTTTCATACTACTTTTGGAGATGTTATGCAAGGCATATACATTTACATATTCTTGTAGCATGCAAATTTACCTCACTTTGGGAAGAAGTTCAGGAGATAACTAATATTTGACAGATGATAGACTCAATGACAGCAACGTGCATTGTTGGAAGACTTAAAGAACCAGGCTGGGGACAGATCATCTATTTATGGAATTACTAAGAATTGACACCAATTTGAGGGCACATATCAATCAATATAATATATCAAGAAAAAGGATACTAAAAGCCTCCACTTGCTAAGCACCTTTATATTTGAGTTCTGTTAAAGCTGTAGCAGAAAGGAAATATGAATGAAATCTCTCCCACCATATTCAACATGGCACATGGAACAAGAAGATCCCACATGCAAAATTAAAAAGAAGGCTCTGGGAAGAATGACATTATCATCTATAAGAATGATGATAACCATCATCATAGGTAACCAAACCTCATTTTAATTGAATATTGGAAAGGGAAGGGGTTGGTTATTAACAAACATTCATTAAATTAAGACTATCTCCTTGGGCGATTTGCATAACAATATGAATTGTGCCATTTACATCTTTATGCAGATGACCTTAATCAGTGCAGAAAATTGGTCAGTTCCCTGCAGAGACTATCAGCTCAAGGTCTGGTAAATTGGTAGCTTAATTAAAAACCCTGCACATTGGGGAAAAGCCCTCTGCCAAGTCAGTCTAAGGAAAATTTCGCAACTCATAAATCTTCATTTCCAAAAACTGGAATCAGCTATATACACCAGTTAAGAAAATGCAGAGTCCACTCAGCTTCCACTAGGGGAAAAAAAACAATAACTTTTCCTTGTCTGAGATTTTACTTATTCTGCTGTGGTATGAAGTACATTTATTGGAATCAATCATTTTCCAGAGGTGGAAAGGAAATTTTACCTCTTCGTTTTCTTGCTTTCAGCCAGTTGATGAAATGTGCACTTCAGTCCAAGCCCTTTGCAATCTCTCCCTTTAAGCAGATGTTTCCATTTCTTCTCTGTAGTGGACTGAGACCTGTTCATATCAATAAAAAAGATGCAGCTATGAGAAACATTCATACTTCTTGCCCATATTGTAGTACATGTATTAAATCTTAAATCTTATTCTTCCTCTATTTTATTTTTACAACATCCATCCATTCATTTAATTATTCAGATTTAGATAGCCTATATGGTATAGGGGTTGTGAAGCAAGACTAGGACTCTACCAAGGCCACAGATGCTTAGTGAGTGACTCTTGGCCTTTCATCCTGCCCAACCTCTCCCATAAGGTTATGGAGGAATAAGTTTGGAGGAAGAAGTATATATGTGCCAATTAGAGGGTCTGAGGAAAGGAAGGATATAAATCTAATAAATGAATACCCTGATGTTCTCCAGGATCTCATATCACTATCTTTTCCCCTGTTTCCCCCAAATAATTCTACGGAGTAGAATAAATTGAGAGGGTAACTAGCTCAAAGCCACAAAATGAGCTTCCATGGCTAAGGTGGTTCATATTTATTATCTTAATTGCACTGATTCCGTTCAGGGGTCTCCAAACTTGGCAATGTTAAGACTTGTGGACTTCAACTCCCAGAATTCCTCAGTCAGTCAGATCCCTGATTTAGTTGGAAGAAAATATCCATGATCAGAGAGAACCATCCCATGTCCTCCAAATGTTAAGAGCTGCACTCTGATAGACCTCTACCATTAGTCAGACTGACTGGGAACGATGACACTTGAAGTTCAAAAGAGGCCATCAATTGCCTGTCCTTGCTCAAAATCATCCATTGGGTATCATGTCTAAATAGATACTAGGATCCCAATGCTAATTGAATATGCTTATCTTTAATGCCAACCTGTTTCTTTACATGCTTCAAAGTCTGTAACTTTTGGTCACTTAACTTAACTGAGCCATGGTGGCACAGTGGTTAGAGTGCAGTATTGCAGTCTAATTCACCTCACTGTTAGGAGTTCGATCCTGACTGACTCAAGGTTGACTCAACCTTCTATCTTTTTGGAGTGGGTAAAATGAGGACCCAGATTGTTAGGGGGAATGTACAGACATTTTATAAACCACTTAGAGAGGACTGTAAAGGACTGTGAAGTGGTATATAAGTCTAAATGCTAAATGTTCAGGCTACGCTAGCTCAAACATTTAGAAATGAAGTAGATATACTGGAATCCAGTTTATAATCTATTCACTAAAGGCTAGAAGAAAGCAAAACAAAATTTACCTATGCTCTGTTCCTGCCTGACAAAAGTTCATACACTTCTTGTCCTTCAGGCTAGCACAGTGGCATCTACTGTCAGATGGCTGAAGTGTCTCAAGCGTTAAATCTTTTAGGGACCGCCTGGTTCGAGAAAAGCTTCCAAGCCCATATGGTACAATCCGCCTATCATGAAACAATAATAGAAAAATTATTTAATGAGTAACATGTGGTCTACAGTTCCCATCATCCCTCACCACTGAGACCATGCTGGCAGAATCAGGCTGGAACTACAGTTTGGTATAAAACGTCTGGTTTTACCAAGCTCCATACACACCACACAGTTATCTACGAGGCCTAGGTCAGTTCAAACTTCTAATAATTTAGCACCATTAACATCCTCTTAGCAAAGAAGCACCCTGAAACTGCCTCACACACTGTGAGTATGTCTCCTCTGAGCCAAATAATTAAAGAAGGTTGGTATGTGCTAGCAGCAGATGGTGGCTTTCAAATACATTTCAGCATGCTTGTCAAGGATTACACAACATGATTTGTCTGATAGGAGCCTGTCTTTGGCTTGCCTCTGCTAATTTGATTAACTGCAGTTCTGCCTTGCATGCAGCTAATGCAGCAGAGTCCCATAGGAGAACACAGTGGCCAGAGTTTGTCTTTACAGACTTTGCTCATAATGCACCAAGCCAATTTCAGTTTAATACCACAAATGAACCAATTAAAATCAGATTTCACGCATGAAAGCAAATAGCTGAGCCTGTTTGAACAGTGCTCTACTATCAAACATATATATTTGTGTTTGTGTTTGTGTGTTTGTGTGTGCATGTGTGTGTGTGTGTGTGTGTGTATAATACAATATGATCCAGAAAAGCCTATATTAAAGTTTAGGATTATGCTGTAGTAGACTGACAAAGTCAAGGCTTTGTCAGTTTGATAAAAACAGCCCATGAAAATACACTGCAAAATTAAGAAATATATCCAAACAAATTTTGCTGCTGTTAATAATCCTTACTGCCCAGGCTGCAGTGTGGCATCCTTAAATTCATAGCTACAAAGGTCAAGATTGCAAAGCTAAGAATGCAACTGTATTAGATGTAAAGGCCAATCCAAAAGAATTGTGTCAATAGAGTCCTCGACTTACAACAGTTCATTCAGGGACTGTTACAACAGCACTGAAAAAATTTATGACCGTTTTCCACTCTTATGACCATTGCACCATGCCCACGGTCAGGGGATCAAAATTCAGACACTTGGCAACTGACTCATATTTATGACGGTTGCCATATCTTGGGGTCATGTGATTGCCTTTTGCAGCCTTCTGACAAGCAAAGCCAGTGGGGAAGCCAGATTCACTTAACAACCGTGTTACAAATTTAACAACTGCAGTGATTCACTTAACAGCTGTGGCAAGATAGGTCATAAACCGGGGCAAAACTCACTTAATAAATGTCTTACTTAGCAACAGAAGCCTTGGGCTGAACTGTGGTCGTAAATCAAGGACTACCTGTACTTATGTTTCCAGGAACAGTTCTGTGCTGTGCACTTGTTACGCTAACACGCTCATCTTTGCACCCGCTTATTCTAACCTGGTACTCTCCACTTCAATGAACCACAACACCCATTACCACAATCAGTAGGATGGAATCCATAATCCAACATATCTGCAAAATGCCAAGTTTTCTTGTTTGCTTCTTCCACGTGCTAGGAGCAAGCAACATTTGCTCGAACCAAAAGCACTTTCCCAAGATTATCCTGGGTCTAAAGTGCAATTAGACTTCCCATTTGTGCTGCTTTGAATCTGGCTGATAATTCAGATAGCCCTGGCCAGATAAAGGAGGGATGTGCTGAACTCGCCTTAACAGAGGAATCCTAGACTAATTAAACACAGCCGCGGAGCGATAAAAAAACACATTAATGGCTTAGTGCCAAGGAGGAGGCCCTACTTACTCGGGAGTGTTAATCCAGATGATGTCCAGGTGGCAGAAATAGACGCACTCTTTATCCATCAGGGAATAACAGGAGCAACGCTTCACTCTGCGCGGCGGCGAGGGGGCGCTCGCGGGCTGCTTGGTGGCATCGACCGCTGCACCTGAGGAAGGCAAGAAAAAGAGCGTCACTGAGGGAGGGAGAGGGAGAGAAGGGGAGAGGGAGGGAGAGAATCTCAGACAAACGGAGGAGACTCGGGGAAGCCTGACGGGCCCGTGGAAGCCTGTGGAGCAGCTCCGCTGCCGCAGCTTCAAGAATTGCACACGGCTCCTCTCGCTGGGCGAGCCGCGTCATTAAGAAACGCCAAGGGCCAGACCGGGAAATACAAACCGGCTAGTCCGCGGCGGCCGGTTTGGAACCGAAGCGCACAGCCCGCTCCGGTCGTCCCTTGAAGCCAACCAAGCTCGCTCTCTCTCTCTCTCTCTCTCTCTCTCTCTCTCTCTCTCTCTCTTGGCTTGACGGTCAATCTGACTGCGAAGGCGAGCGAGGCCCCCCCCCCCGGTGATTATCAGGCAGTGCGGTTCATGGGAAGTGTAGTCCCCAAGAGTTGCAGGGAACTGGGATCGGCTACCTCTCCGAGCAGAAGCAAAGGAGAGGAGAAAAGCCCTTTCCGGACAGTTTTCGAGGACCGTGCGCTTCAGCGGGATCGTCCAAGTCGAAGTTCGTGTTCAAAACAAACTTGAGATCGCTATTCCCCAAATGCCAAACCAGCACTTGTGAACGAGGCGAGGCTGGGAAAAGCTATCTGAACTCGCGCTCGACTGCAAAAAGGGAGCAAGTTGCTTCAATCGGGAGTTAGTAACCTCTAGTTGGCACAATACGATAAGCTATAAAGCGTGCTTTACGTAGCACAGTGGCTGAGCCAAAGCCGAGCAAAACATATTCTGCGTCGAGGAGGTACGAGCCCTGCCAGCCTACAATTGTTTTGGTTCGGCCGCGTATCGTACGAATTTGTTTGTTCAGGTTTAGCGCCTTGGGGGAATCGCAGCTGAGGATGCCCAGTTTTAAGCCCATTTACCTCGCCTCCTTTAAATCAATGGATTCGCGCTCTCCTAATTATATGGAGCCCTTGGTGCTCTCTTGAGTTTGGTTGCTTGCTTTCAGACGTTTCATTATCCAATTAGGTAACGGCATCAGCGCTAGCGAGTGTGGGGTTTGCTAGTGAATGTGAAGTCTCTGAATTCTTTTAGGGTTTGCCCAACCAGCGGCAGCTCACAGTCACCCGCTCAAGTGTCCCAAAATTTTGCTGCCTGGATCTCTTAACTTTCCAACTCTTGAATCATCCCTCTGGCTAATCGCCTAGAGCTAGTGGGCAGCTAGCAGGCAGAACTATTCCTACCACCACCCCACCTAGGAAGTATTTTTAAAAAGAATTTTATTGCTAAAACCTGCTCCCCAACCTCCACCAGGTAAACCAAATTTGCCACGGCCACCGCTAAATAGCGAGGTAAAGCAGTCGATTCCGCCGCCTCTCAGAGCAGACTTTGCCTGCGGGATGGAATCTGGGACCAACTAATTATTTCGGATTAATTGCCTTGAGGACCGTAGCCCTGGAGTGCCCCTTAGCGAGGCTAAGCAAGCTCCTGACTTGGTTGAGGAAACGCTTTCGGTCACAGAGCATCAACGGTTCGCAGTCTTCCTTGGACGGAGGCAAAGCCCAACCTGGGCTAAGACATTTGCAGAAGAGTTTTAGAATCCTAAAGGGCTCCTTAACTTACCCGCGTGCTGAGCCCCCTGGCTGATCACGAAAAGCAGGGGAAGGATCATCCGCTTGTAATCCATCCCGACGGTTCCTCCGGCTAACCCCAGGGGCGGGCAGTGCAATTCACGCCTTCTAAACCCGCTTTAGTCCCGAGGCAGCTTTGCGGAGGCAGACACGAAGCGGAGCGACCGTCCGATCGCTCGATCCCCCGAAGCCACCGAGCTGAGCCCCCTGGCCGCAGTCCGCTGGGCAACCGAGAGGAAGGCTGCGCGCAAAGAGGAGGGGTTGGTGGAGCAGGTGGGCAGGCGCTGCTTCTTCCACAGCGAGGCTCCGCGAGCGCTTCTGCCTTTGGTGGACTCTCGGCGGCTCCTTTTATAAGCACCCCTGGAGAGCGGAGTAAACAAATCCGACTTTATTATGTTATTGTGTTATTAGTCACCCGGAGTCAACGTGCAGGAGAAGATAAGGGCAGGCTGGAAAGGAAATCGCTGCAAGCTTCAGAGAGGCAGACGCCGTCTGGCAGGGTTACACAGGAAAATAAATACGCGGCGCAGACTTTTTAGGAAAGGAAGACTCCCGAAACGAAGAGCACCTTCGGCACTTTGCCCACAGGGGGCGTGCTGCTGGCCAAGAACCTCGGCCGGTTTCCCCCCCCCCCGCCCCGAATTTGTATAGTGAGTTCTTTCTGGTGTAGAATTGAACAATAAGGAGCCTAATTATATCTTTCCCTGATTAAGCAAGCGCATTCTCTTTTTCTTTTCCCTCACCATGGACCAATTCCTTAACAGTTTTGAATTTCACAAATGTCTTCCAAATATGGTTGGGTGATAATTACTCTCCACCCAGATCGCAAACTCGTCTAAACTAGCTAGTGTGTTAGAACTGAGTTCCAAATATTGGGGTGGACAACAGGTTTGGGCAGATTGATCTATTATGGTATTGATTTTTTTAAAAAAAACTACCCAAGTATTTGGTTTCACAGACTGCAAATTTCTGTTGTAGAAATAGACCCGTCCAGTAAAATAACAGTTATATTGTATAATATACAATATACGGTTTTCCTATCGTTCCTCTAAGGTGGTGATCATGATCATTGTACTGTATTGCAGAACAGCTCCTTGAAATGGAGGCTTCTTGCAAAGTCCATCTGAAATAACACTCATTCTAGACAAATGTTCTTCAGATTTTGTTAACAGCAACACTGCAAATGAGCTCTCCTAGATTTAGGCCTAGCTTTAAGTAGTGTTGTGAATTTTCCCTTAGACTTTTCTCATTTAAGCAGCTTTTCGGAGCTGATTGACACCTGGGGAAAAAAACAGTTCTTGCCTCCAGAAGCAGTAAATGCTCCAACACTGGAAGTTTTTAAGAAGAGACTGGACAGCCATTTGTCCGAAATGGTGTAGGGTTTCCTGCCCGAGCAGGGGGTTGGACTAGATGACCTCCAAGGTCCCTTCCAACTTTACTACTATTACTATTACTAAGAAGAAGAAGAAGAAGAAGAAGAAGAAGAAGAAGAAGAAGAAGAAAAAGAAGAAGAAGAAGAAGATTGAAACTACACGTGCTCTGTTCAAAAGCTCAAGTGTGCCTTGGTTGTTATTGGGTATTATCATTCATGAAATAGAGATGACTTTATGAAAAATGTGCTGACCAACACACACACACACACACACACACACAAGAGGTGAAGTAGAACCAAACCATTATGAAAGAATTATTGACGGGTCCTTAGTGCTCTCTGACCTTGCTCGTTTTCTTGCAGACATTTCATTATCCAACTAAGTATCATCGGTGCTAATAAGGAGTGCGTTTTGCTGTCAGTTTATACTCTAGTGCAGTGGTTCTCAACCTGTGGATCGGGACCCCATTTGGGGTCAAACGACCATTTCACGGGGGTCGCCAAACCATGCTGTCCGCCATTTTTTTTCCTTTTCCCTAGCTGTCCTACTCCCTCTTATTGGTGGCCACACTGACTTGGGGGGTCACCACAACATGGGGAACTGTATTATGGGGTCACGGCATTAGAAAGGTTGAGAACCACTGCTCTAGTGGCTTGCCCTGTTAGTGTTGGTGGGGATGGTCTTAGAGATTCTTTGGTTTGCTGTTGGCTTCTTTGGCAGTTTCATGACTGGGGTATTGTTTACTTGATTGTTTACTTGATTGTAAAGTGGGACTTACTAGAAACAGGTTCCTTAGTTTTTCACTGCCAGATTACATTGCCAACCTTCAGCAGCAATTGCCTATTTTTGATAACATGGCTGTATTCTTTTCACCTTCCTTCTCAAAACCAAGATATAAAATAGTGCATGTGCTCTCACATGCATGCATACAGAACAAGCCAGAATTTCCAACCTAATTCCTCTGGGGATGTTACACAGTTATTGGCCAGGCTCCCAGGAGCCTTTAGAGGTCCAAAAAAAAAAAAAAAAAGGTGCATGCTTGGCCCAGAAAAAAAAATGTGTGTGGTACTTTGCAGAGGAAGGGAAACAGAACAGTGAAATTTCATTCTTTCGAGTATGTGGGCCTCTGCCAAGTACACGTCCTCTACCTTTGCCCTTCTGGGCACTGAGCAAACTGAGTGCCTTTTTTTCTCCTCTTTATTTCCAGTTTTCACGGGTCCTGGTTGGGCTGATATTTTTAAATATATATTTTAAACATATGTGTTGTATAAGTACATAAATGTAATAGTAATAGCGTTTTTTTTAAAAAAAATTGCGCATTGACAAATTTTTCATTAGTTGATTGCAAAAGGCCACACTGCTTGGATCCATAGATAAGAGTATGCTAATACATTATGATATCCTAAGTTCTTGGGAAGAACTTGATTATATGAAGGCGAACACCAGCTAAAGAACTGGCAGCTGTTCACATTCTTGTGAACAGATAATAATAACATCCTGCAACAATACTTTTAATATTAAGAGCTGTGGTGGTGCGGAGGTTAGAATGCAGTATTGCAGGCTAATTCTGCCAACTGCCAGCAGCTCGAGTGTGACCGGTTCAAGGTTGACTCAGCCTTCCATCCTACCGAGGTCAGTAAAAGGAGGACACAGATTGTTGGGGGAAATATGCTGACTCTGTAAAAACGTTTAGAGAGGGCTGTAAAGCACTGTGAAGCGTAATATAAGCCTAAGGGCTATTGCTAGTGCTATTAAGCAGCAATATCTGCCTCACCCAAGTCCTTGGGAGGGATCTGATAGGTGGATAAATATGCCAAATCCAGTCTCAACAGCGGACTGACTGTGCAACCAACCATAATAATAATAGCATGCCATCCAATTTCCAGAAGCTCTGGACAGTTTAAAATTGTTAAAACATTTTAATTATAGAGAACAATGCAAAAGACATAAAAGAGCAGAAGGCAAAGGGACAACGATGGCAGAGGGGAACAGAAAGGAAGAAAGGGATTTCAATCATCCTCTCCAAAGGCCTGGGCCCTCAGAAATCCCAGTGTGTCCATAAAATTCTCTGCCTTTGAATACGCTGATAGGCATTCAAACACCCAATCTTGCTTTTAGGAAGACTGATCATACAGCAGTCATCAGATCGATACAGACATCACTACGCGAACAGACATTTCCTAGTTCTAAATGACACACTAAAACAAGGAATATGAGGTAGAGTATTGAAAAACATAATTTCCTTAAATCTGGAGGAGTTTTCAAAGTAGGTGTCTGTTAACGAATGCTTGAAAATGGGGGGGGGGGATATGGGTGATAAAAAAATGATTATAGGCTTTTGAAAAATATATGGGTTGGGTCTTAGGCAGGTAGTTAGGAAAGTGTCCCTAGTAAATTTTACTTGTCCAGTTTGGATGAAAAAAGAGCACTTGTGGATCATGTAATCATCAAATTGCTAATTTGTTTTGTTCCCCTCAACTCTGTGGCTTAATAAAATACCCAGTTAACAACTGGGAGTAAAGTTCATTCTTTGCTCTTATCAGAGCTGCTACATTTCCGGACACTTGACATGTTACAGTTAACACGTGATATCATAGGAACCTCCCTGTTGTGAACAATTTCACCTGCTATTTCTTGAATAACAAGTATAGTTAAAGGTAAAGATAAACAGACAAAGTGACAAATGCAATCCTTACTAGCCTGGAGCATCTGTTATTTTAAAAGAACTGTCTTACCAAAGAACGGGACCTTTTTGTAGAAAGCCTTTTTTTCTTGACTATTTCTGTGCTTTGAGAAATAGCTCAATTAACAGTAAATCAAAATGTATTCAGTATACCACAAAAAGCTTTCTTTGCCCATTAAGCTTTGGTTCAAGATAGAGAGGCCACTTATGGTAATACTTTTCACCTCTCCACTATCAATCCTAAAAATACCCTGAACTTTTGGGGGGGAGGGGTGGAACCTTGATATTTAGTGGAGAAGTTCACATTTTCATTACATTCTATTCTATTATGTGTACAGCCTATTCATAATATATTTAAGGAGTTTGGGAAACACGCATCTGGCCCTCCGCTTTTAGTCCCACAACAACCTTATAAATAGTTTAAATAGGAAGAAAGTGAATGTTTACAATCACAGCCATATTATAAAAGAGGACAAGAATCCTTTTATCAGATATAGTTGTGTATATTTGCATATATACACACGTTTGGAGCAGAATGACTTTTGTGATTCTGGAAGGTCTTTTAAAATCTATTTTTTGTCTCTGTGTTATAGATTTCTCTGTGTCCTTCTGTGACCTGGATTCAAAAGGCTCCACCCACTCTTAGGAAGGTTTGATCTCTCTGGTTCTTTCATTCTGTTGAGCCAGGGGACATTACTGTTCCATAATTAGAAGCCTAATCGTTCAGAAATGGTGCATCGTTGAAGCTCCACACACCTTTTGTCCTTAGGAGCCATCTCTGTGAGGGATTAGTGGACCTTTGAAGTCCCCTCTGCAGCCCCTGTTCATCCTTTGTTGCAGACCACAAAACATATATTCTTAAACATCAAACATCTGCAGGCATTAACAGTTAATTAGCGCTGCAATTTGCTTTCTACAGACAGCCGGATTTTAACTGGGAAGCACCATTGTAAGGCCCAGTTTGGAATAGTTAGGCCTAGTGCTCCAAAGGTGGGCATTGTTTGAGAAGTGATTCGAACTGACAGCCTGGAAGCTCTGGCACTTTGGATTACAACCTTGCTTCAGCATTGGAGGAGTTTGGCCTGCCTGCTGGAAAGAGGCATGGTAAAGCACACCACCAAATCTGGGCACTCACCCACATTAAAGAGCTTCCATGTGATGCCCTCCCTTCCCACTGCATTCTTCCAACGTTGATGAAGTCATAATTTAAAAGATGCAAGAGGGGGGAAATCTCTTACTTCAGGCATATTTGTGGACACTTATCCAATAAATCACTGAAATATATCCCAGCCTCAGTGCTTAGTTCGTAAATTTACACTTATCTTTCTACTAGATCAGGGGTCTTCAAACTTGGCCCTTTTATGACTTGTGGACTTCAACTCCCAGAATTCCTCAGCCAGTGTGCCTGGCTGAGGTATTCTGGGAGTTGAAGTCCACAAGTCATAAAAGGGCCAAGTTTGAAGACCCTGTACTAGATTATCACACTCAAGGCATTTTATAG